GAATTTTTGTTGGTTATGCTAGAAATGGTTATAGAATTCTAAATCCAGGTGGATACACAATGAAACTAACAAGTGCTGTTTGTGTTGATGAAAGACTACAGCCCAAATCTAATCCACACCAAGATGTCTATCCAGATTTATTTGCAGTGGAAGAAGACTCCCCCCAGCAACCAGAGCATGTAGAATTCTTTCATTCTCCAGAGATCTTGCATCCAGAAGGGGCTACACTTTCAGTGGACCAGCCTAATGATGAGGAACTGGATGGGGTTACAGAAGTCCAGGTGAGAAGGTCAAAATGCTTCAACACAAGTAGGAAAGAATTTCAAAACCCTCTGATTGGAAAGGGACTGCCAGTGACAGATTCTGAGAAGTAGGTGCAAGCTGCTAGTGAGGAGATGCAAGAGCCCTGGTGGTGCAGTGGTTAAATGCCTGTACTGCTGCCACTCACTCATAGACCACAAGGAGTTCAATACTAGCCAGGGCTCAGGCTTGACTCAGGCCTGCATCCTTCCGAGCTAAAATGAGTACCCAACTGTTCGGGGGCAATGAGCTTACAGTTGTAAACTGATTAGACGCCCCATAAAATGAGTACCCAACTGTTGAGGGGCAATAAGCTTACAGTTGTAAACTGCTTAGACACCCCATAAAATGAGTACCCAACTGTTGGGGGGCAATGAGCTTACAGTTGTAAACTGCTTAGACATCCCATAACATGGTATGAAGTGGTATATAAATGATGCTGCTTTGCTTTGCTTTGCTTTGCTCTTATATAAAAACAAGACATGGACTTTGTCAGAATTGCCAGAAGGAAAAAGAGCAATTGGCTGTAGATGGGTCTTCACTGCAAAGCAAGAAGCAGAAGGGGAGATTCAGAAATACAAAGCAAGATTTGTGGCTAAAGGTTACACTCAAAAGTATGGTGAGGACTACAACAAAATGTTTCCTGGGGTAGTCACACATACAATCATCAAAACTCTCCTAGCTGTTGGAGCCTACAAGAAAATGGATGTTGAACATCTAGATGTCTTGACAGCTTTTCTCTGTGGTGATCTGTCTGAACAACTATTTATGGAACAGCCTCCAGGATTCCAAGTTCCTAGAAAAGAAAATCTTGTATGCAAATTACAAAAGAGTATTTATGGTTTAGAACAGGCAGCCAGAGCATGGAGTGAGAGCCTGAACCAGCTTCTTATCAAAGAGGGGTTCATTCCAGGCACTGTTGACAAATGTTTGTACAAGAAATTCAGAAATTTATAACACAAGTTATGTTGATGATCTGATCCTATGCAGTGAGGACAAAGCAGATAGTGAAGAGATAATCCAGAATCTCATGAAAGAGATTGATATCAAAAATTTTGGGAGACATCTCACACTATCTTGGAGTGCAAATACAAAAAAGTAGTGATGGAAGTTTCTTCCTTAAGCAAGCAGAAGATAAGGGATCTTCTGGACTGTCATGGTTTGAAAGATGCAAATGCTATGCCAACTCCAAAGAAAGTAGGTTTCTTAAAGGACACTAAGAAATCCGAACCTTTAAAAAAATAGAGACAAGTATAGGGCTGCAGTTGAAAAATTCCTATATATAGCCAATTTCACCAGACCTGATATTACAAATCCTGTTGATATCTTATGCAGAATGGTCAACTTTCCTACAGAAGGAGATTTTATTGCAAATCACAAACTGATGCTGCCAGCCTGTAACTGACTACATCTGATCACTTATGCAGCTCCAGACTGGGCTGCAGATCTGTCAGACAGAAAGTGAACCAATCGGAAATCTGATCTTCAGTGGTGGAGTTGCTGTAAGTAAGAAGCGATCAATGATTACTGATTCTTCTACAGGTGCTAAGTGTGTTTCAGCAAAAGCAGTATGTGATGAAATCAAATGACTGCACAATATTATTTATGAACTTTGGGATAAGAGAACCCAAACCAACTATTTTGATTCAAGATAATCAAAGCTGCATCAAGATTTCTCAGTGTGAAAAGCCACTTAAGAAGCACATTGACATTGCTTTCCATAAAGTAAAAGAAATGTGTCAGAATGACTTGTCTACCTGGAATACTGCAATGCTGAGGTGATTATTCAAGACATGCTCACTAAACCTCTACCCAGAAAATCTATTCCAGAGACTGCATGATGGAATGAAGATCCTTGATGTTGGCCCAAGAGAATAAGAAGGGGATTGTTGGAAGAAACGTGTGCCTTCTCTTTCCCTTCATTATATAGATAGGGATTCTTGCTTGGAAACGGCTCCCTCCCTCTCTCTCATTCAAAACTAACCATGTGACTAATCACACCCTCTTTGAGAATAACAGTCTTTCTCTCAAGATTTTCATCTGAGCTGTTCCATCTTCCTGCTCTCTCAACTTTGTTTGGAAAAATGGTGAGATAAATATTTCTCTCTATCTGAATTATTCACTAGTTAGATTAGGATATAGCCTGTTATGTAAATATAGATTAAAGTCATTGTTTTTAAACTACAAGCTGCATGTTTGTTGTTTTTTTTTTTGAGCCTGTATCAGTTCTTAGGGAAGCATAGTTAGGCAAAGTCACACGTCTGCTACTCTGCTGTTTTAAAGCCAGACTCTGTCTTGGTTTTCAAATTCTTCATTTTTTTTTCCTTACTAAACCCTTAGGAAACTTAAATTACCCTACACGAATTCCATAGGATGGAGCCCTGGCAGTGAGAGTGTTCTCAACTTGCTATAATTGTCCAGGGTGGATATACCCCCGGGACTTAGTAGCGGCCATGCCTGATAAAATAACAAGGAGCTAAAGGAAGAACTGAACGCAGCGGATCACTTTACCCCGGGATTATGAGGCCTGCCTTCTCCTACGGACAGTGAAGTAGTTACCTGTGAGGAAACCTGTCCTTTATTGTGGAAATACTGGAGCAACAACCGGCCTTAGGTTGCTCTCTTCTACTTGCTGGGCAGAAATTCCCATTTTAAAGACGGAAGCCTGCACTTCTACCTTCAGCTCCTTTATTAAGTTCCAGAGTGGTGAAGTGGATTGAGCGTTGGACTGACTCTGGAGAGCAGGGTTCGAATTTTCTCTCTGCTATGAAAACCTACTGGGTAATTTGGGTCAAATCACACTCTCTCAGCCTCAGAGAAAGGCAAAGGCAAAAGCATACCCCCTCTAAACAAATCTTGGAAAAAAAGATAGGTTCCCATAAGTCGGAACGACTTGAAGACCCACAACAACCCACCAAACTCAGTGTATTTTGACTCCCCTGTCGAAAGGGTCTTTAACTTCATAGCTTTAACACATGCACACGCAATAAAATAAAATAAAATAAAATAAAATAAAATAAAAAAGCACTCGGAGAGAGGGGCACTTGCTCTTCTCCCAATTCAACCGGGCTTTCAAGAATTTAAAGATATTTTTGAAGTTCATTTTTCAGGATAACTTTTCTTTAGGCTTCAGCCATTTCACTCCTTGTGGGTTGCTCTCATAAAGGAAGAACTTCAGTTCCGATTCTGGGATTTTTCATCTGGCCAACTGGGCTTTTGATGAACGTTTCAGCTCTAGTTGTTGTTGTTGTTGTTGCTGTTGTTGTGTGCCATCAAGTAGTTTCCGACTTACAGCGACCCTAAGGGGAACCTTTCATGGGGTTTTCTTGGCAAGATTTGTTCAGAGGGGGGTTGCCTTTGCCTTCCCTTGAGGCTGAGAGCATATGACTTTCCCAAGGTCACCCAGCGGGTTTCATGGCCAAGCCAGGATTCGAACCCTGGTCTCCCGAGTCGTAATCCAACACCCAAACCACTACGCCTCGCTGGCTCTCCGTCCGAGGGTACAATCCGCAGCCCCAGGTCGGGATGAGAAATCTCTCCCGAACCCCTTTCCTAAGGGAATTTCCTCCACCTCCTGGACCTTGGCTGTCTGTCTTGCTTTGCAGGCGGCTCCATTGCTGGGTCCACGACAGGACTGACTTTTGGGTGGGACTGGCCCAAAGGAGGGACCAGCAGGAGCTTCTTCCTAGCTAGGTCTACTGAAAAGAAAATCCCCTTGACTTCCATCGGTCTTAATATTCCCAGGGAAATCAGTAGGGAATCACAGTTGAGTTGCCAGGTCTACGTAGTAAATAAACTAGAGACACTACTCGCTAGGCCTGTTACTAACCCTCCCCTCTGCTTCGGTCCCCTTTAAAATGCGGGGTCTAACGAGTTTTTTAAATACGTACACACCTACATACACCTGTCTTCATCAAACGTCACTATTTTGCTCTAAGCATGCAAAGGGATCTTGTAGCACGTTTGAGACAAAGAAGTTGGTGGCTCATGAGCTTTCCTAGACTTGAGCCTCCTTCCTCAGATGCATGCTCAATAGACTCAAGTCTACAGAAAGCGCATGCTACCCACCTCTCTCTTTCCTAGTCTCAAAGGTGCTGCGAGATCCCTTTGCAAACTGATTTTCCAGATGAACACGGCTACGACTTTGTACAGTATTTTGCTCTAAACGTAAGAGAAAGTGCGGGACACAGCGGCTTCAATCCGATCGTTAGTTTTAACCGGAGCAGACCAACTTGATCACTTGCATTTACTTCTGTGTTGCCAGCAGAGTGTCGTGGTTTGGGTGTTGGATTAGGACGCCCGGAGACCAAGGTTCAAATCCCCGTTTGGCCATGAAACCCACTGAGTGACCGTGGGCGAGTCACACTCTCTCAGCCCGAGGGGAAGGCAATGGTAGACCACCTCTGAACAAATCTTGCCAAGAAAATCCCTTTTGGGTCGCCATACCTCGGGTTCGGAAATGACTTGAAAGCACAGGACGACGACAACAAAGGGGAAACTGTCACGGGGTTTTCTTGCGAAGTTTCTTCAGAGCAGTTAATTTATTTGGTTTTGCCATTGCCATCACCTGAGGCTGAGAGAGTGTGACCCACGCCAGTTCACTCAGTGGGTTTGCGTGGCTGAGCCAAGATGCAAGCCCTGGTCTCCAGAGGAAGGACAACGGCTCAAACCACTACTGCACGCTGTCTCTCCCTAGGAAGGAGAAGCCTCTTTGGCTAAACCCCCCAGAAGGACTGGATTTGAGAATCAACCACGAGGCGGAGGAGGATCAGGCCGCCTCCTGGAAAGGAACCTTTTGGGATCGGGGCGTGGAAGAGCAAAGGCGAACCCGGTTTGGAGAGGAAAATTCGGCTTTCTAAGCAAATTCCGGCTTGGTTTAAGAGCCAC